CAAGCCAGGGCCTCTTCCAAACTGACTGATAACTCTTCTTGGGAAACTGAAGAGTTTCCCCACCCCTGCGTTTGCTGGGCAGCCATGTGTGCTGTGGCCGTGCCCTTGCATGTGCCCATGCCATACACGCGTAAATCCTGTGGAATCTAGATCCTGTTCCAGACTACCCGAGCTCGAATCTGCACTTTTTAAATTTTATTTTTCTTTTTTTGTTTTTAAGAGAACAGAAATTTATTGCATCACAGTCCTATATCAAGGTATCAGAAGGGACACCACCCTCTGAGACTCTGGGTAGAATTCTTTCTTCCTTGCATCTTCCTTCTCCTCTCTTGTGAATCTATTGTAGGTTTTTTGCTGTGTGGTTACTGGAGCTTATATAAAACTTCATCTAGATATAAAAGTCCATTTTACACTGACTACAACTTTGATTGTATACAATAACTTCCCTTTTATTCCCTCCCCTTTATTTTTTTTTTCTGGAAATACACAGACATTTTTAATGGAAGCAAAATGGGGCAACGGCGTCACAGCCAACAGGGATTGAGCTCAGGCGAAGTAGGGCCCATGCTGTGCCTGGGTCACGGAAGCCACAGCAGCCTGGCGGGACGTGGGGTGTGGGGGAGGCATGGCTGGCTGTGGGGGACCTGTGAGGAGCCCAGGCTGCCAGCTTCATTCCGGGGGTGGAGCAGAGGCTCTGGCCCAGCTGGTTCTGCGAAAACCTCAAGGGTGGGCACCTGGCGGCTCCAAATGGCTCCTCAGCTTAATTACTTAATCACACCCCGAGAGTAATCAACCCACGAGTATTTAATCATACCACTCGAGTGAGCCTGCGAGCCGAGTGAGCCTGCGGTAGGCCGGGTGGGAGCGCACCCAAACTTGCTAGGGCTCTCTTACTTTATCTTTATTGTTATGTGTGTTTTAGAGGATCACTTTAAGTTGACTGTTTGGTTCTTATGAGCCTCATGAACTTGGATGTCCAAATCTCTCCCCTGACTTGGGGAGTTCCCAGTTAATATGTATTTAAATAAGTGTCTGCCTCTTTCTTTCTCTCTTCTCTTTCTGAACCTGCAACAATTTGCAAATTGTTCTTTTTGTTAGTATTCCATAGATCACATAGGCTTTCTTTTTTCTTTGTTCTCTTCCAACTGGAATATTTCAAAATTTCTGTCTTCTAACTCACAGATGCTTTTTTCTGCTGGATCCATTTTGTTGTTAATGCTCTCTATTGCCACTTTTAAAAAAAAATTTATTCATAGTGTTCTTAGCCTCCAGAATTGTTCTTTCTTTTTTATGATTTCTATCTTTGTTAAACTACTCATTTTTTTTTTGTTTTCTTCACCTTAAGAAGAAACTGAATAAAAGTAAATGTCCATAAACTACTCATTTTTAAATGTATTGTTTTACTGATTTCATTGAATTGTCCTTCGCTTTTTTTTTTTTATAAATCTATGCCTTTATAGTCAATTAATATTTGACAAAGGAGACAAAAAACATACAATGGACTAAAGATAGTCTATTATAAATGGTTCTGTTAAATTGGACAGACATGTGCAAAATAATGAAACTAGACCACCTTCTTGCACCACACAAAAGAATAAACTCAAAATAGATCCAAGACTTAAATGTTAGACTTGAAACCATAAAAAGCCTAGAAGCAAATATAGGCAGTAAAATCTCTGACATTTCTCATAACAATATTTTTTTCTGATATATCTCCCCAGGCAAGGAAAACAAAAGGAAGTATAAACAAATGAGACTATATCAAACTGAAGAGTTTTTGCACAGCAAAGGAAACCATTAACAAAGTGAAAAGACAAGCTACTTGGGTCCTCTCTCTTAGCTTCTTGGTGAGCCTGGCTAGAGGTTCATCAATCTTGTTTATCCTTTCAAAGAACCAGCTCTTGGTTTCATTGATTTTATGTATTGTTTTTTTGGTCTCTATGTCATTTATTTCTGCTCTCATCTTTATTATCTCCTTCCTTCTGCTCACTCTGGGCTTTCCTTGTTGCTCTCTTTCTAATTCTTTGAGTTGTAGAGTTAGATGATTTACTATCATTTTTTCTTGTTTTTTTGAGATAGGCCTGTAGAGCTATAAACTTCCCTCTCAGGATTGCTTTCATTGCATCCCATAGGTTTTGGATTGTTGTGTTTTCATTGTCATTAGTTTCCAGATGTTTTTAATTTCTTCTTTGATCTCATTGGTAACCCAATCAATATTTAATAACATGCTATTCAGCTTCCAAGTGTTTGAGTATTTGGGGTTGTTTTTATTGTAGTTTATTTCTAATATTATGCCATCGTGGTCTGAGAAAATGCTTGGTATGGTATGATTTCAATCTTCTTGAATTTGGGGAGACTTTGTTTGTGACCCAATATGTGGGCTATTTTTGAATATGTCCCATGAGCCCTTGAGAAGAATGCATATTGTGTGGCTTTGGGGTGAAGTGTTCTGAAGATGTCAATTAAGTCCATCTGATCTAGTGAGTCATTTAGGATTGCTGTCTCTTTGCTGATTGTTTGTCTAGAGCAGCCGTGGGCAAACTATGGCCCGCGGGCCGGATCCGGCCCGTTTGAAATGAATAAAACTAAAAATAAAAAAGACCGTACCCTTTTATGTAATGATGTTTACTTTGAATTTATATTAGTTCACACAAACACTCCATCCATGCTTTTGTTCCAGCCCTCAGGTCCAGTTTAAGAACCCACTGTGGCCCTCGAGTCAAAAAGTTTGCCCACCCCTGGTCTAGAAGATTCATTCAGTGATGCCAGTGGTGTATTAAAGTCCCCTACTATGATTGTATTGTTGTCGATCTCTCCTTTGATATCTTCCAGGAATTTTTTTTTATGTATTTGGGTGCTCCTGCATTGGGTGCCTATATGTTTATCAGGGTTATATCTTCTTATTAAATTGATCCCTTTAGTATTATGAAGTGGCCATCCTTATCTCTTGTTATGGCCTTCACTTTGAGGTCTATTTTGTCTGATATAAGTATTGCTACTCCAGCTTTTTTTTCATTTCCATTTGCCTGAAAGATATTTTTCCATCCCTTCACTTTCAGTCTGTGTGAGTCCCTTTTTCTGAGGTGGGTCTCTTGTAGACAGCAAATGTATGGGTCATGTTTTTTTATCCATTCAGCCACTCAATGTCTTTTGGTTGGAGCATTTAGTCTGTTTACATTTAAAGTTATTATTGAAAGGTACTTGTTTGTAGCTATTTCTTTTTTTGTGTGACTGTTTTCTTTCTGAGCTTTTTATTTCTTCTCTTTACACCAGTCCCTTTAGCATTTCTTGCATTGCTGGCTTGGTGGTGATAAACTCCCTTAGCCTTTTTTTTGTCTGTGAAGCTTCTTATTTCCCCTTCAATTTTGAATGATAGCCTTGCTGGATAGAGTATTCTTGGATTCAATCCTTTGCTTTGGATCACTTTGTAAATTTCTGTCCATTCTTTTCTAGCCTGATGTGTTTCTGTTGAGAAATCATTTGATAATCTAATGGGAAATCCCTTGAATCTAACTTTCTGTCTCTCTCTTGCAGCCTTTAAGATTCTCTCTTTGTCCTGAACATTTGCCATGGTAATTATGATGTGTCTTGGTGTGGGTCTTTTTGGGTTCACCTTGTTTGGGACTCTCTGTGCTTGTGTGATTTTTTTCTTCCCCACCTCTGGGAAGTTTTCTGATATTATTTCTTCAAATAGGTTTTCTAACCCTTGTTCCTCTTTCTGTTGTTCTGGCACCCCTATTATTCATATGTTGTTTCGTTTCATGTTGTCCCATAGCTCCCTTAGGCTCTCCTCCTGTCTTTTAATTTTTTTCTCCAATTGCTGTTCAATTTGGGTGTTTTGTTTCCCTGTCTTCTAATTCGCTAATTTGGTCCTCTGCTTCTCCTAGTCTACTGTTGAAACTTTCAATGGTGTTTTTTATTGCAGCTCTATCACTCTTCATTTCTTCTTGGTTCTTACATAATTTATTGATTTTTTTCATCTGTTTCTTCTAGCTTCTTGCATAAGTTGTTGATTTTTTCCTCCATCCGGTTTATGCACTCTAGGACCCTTAATCTGAATTCTTTTTCTGTCATGTTGCATGCCTCTGTATCACTTAGCTGCTTTTCTGGCGAGTCCTCTTTTTCTTTCCTTTGGGGGTTTCTTTGTCTACCCATGTTTGATCATACCGCCATATCTAGATGTTGAGTTGTTCAGTGGCTGCTCCTTGGGTGGCAGTGGCTCCTCGGGCTGCGGTTGCTCCTTGGGCGGTTGTGGTAGCAGCTGCTCCTCAGTTTGTAGCAGCTCCTCTGGTGGGTGCTGTTCACAGTTGTGGTGGCTCCTCTGGCTGGTGGGGGGAGGCTTCACACACAGCTGCTGTTCCTCAGACCTAAATTTTATTTTTCAATCACAGCTTATATTCAATATTATTTTGCATTTAGAATCTGCATTTTTAAACAAGATGTACAGTTGATTCACATAGACAATACGGCTTGAGAGTAACTGGAGCAAATCTTCAATAAACCATGGTTCTCCAACTTGAGCATACACCTGAAGCACTCATTAAAATGTGCACATCTGCCCCCACCCCCACCCCAGCCCCCCATCAGAGCTGCTGGTTCAGAAGGTCTGGGGTGTAGCCTGAGACTTTGTATTTCTTTGTTCAGTAGCTGAAGCTACTATTCTGGGACCACATTTTGAAAACCACTACTTTGAACTATTTGGCTATGAGGGTGTTTTTGTTTTGGTGTTTGTTTGTTTGTTTTGACAGTTAACTGATGACTTCATTCCACAGAAGCTAATTTATGTGTGTGTTTGTGTGTAGCTGATATGGTGCATGCCCTCCTCCCCGCACCCTTCCTCCCTCCCCTGCCCCCAGGTGCTCTGGGTCCCACCTGGAGTCAAGGCCGGCCTTGAGCGCCCAGGTGGGGCATGTTAGAACTCACGTGAGGCAGGTGGGCGTGTGAGAACTTACCTGCCTGCCCCGGCGCCTCACCTGTGCGCCGCGCGGGCACAGGGCAGACAGCTGCGTGGCCGGGGCAGGCAGGTACCGCGTCCCGCCTCCCGGGGCGGTGCCAGGGGCGGCCTCGCGGGCGGCGGGTCAGTCTCCGCCGGAGATTTCCGCTCGGCTGCCGGCCCGCGCTCTGCAGCAGGTGAGGTCGGGCTGGGGCCGAGCCGCGGACCCGGGGCTGCCCCGCCGGTCCTTGCGGCTGCCCTGGGGACCCAGGGACTCGGGCCGTCCGTCCCTGCGCGGCGCGCTGCTCCGGGGCTGCGGCCCGGCCCGGCCCGCGGGGTGCGGGGCGGTGGGGACAGGAGGACGGGGGGGGGGGGGGGGGGGGGGCGGGGGGGCGCGGGCTGGGACCGGGCGGCTAACAGAGTTCCCAGATCGGCTCATTCGGCGGAGGCGGCGCCGCTGCCAGAACGCCCTGCCTCCAGGTGTGGACTGCTGTTGCTATAAGGGAAAAGGGCGGACTTCAGAAGGTGGTTACGGAAGGATTTCTCCGTTGAATAAGGCTAAACACTTTTCGGGGTTTGTTTTGATGTTCTTTTATTTATCTTTAAATATATTTTTATTGACTTCGGAGAGGAAGGGGGAGAGAGAGAGAGAAAGAAACATCAATGAGAAACATTGATCGGCTGCCTCCTGCACGCCCCCTACTGGGGACCGAGCCCACAATCCAGGCTTGTGCCCTTGACCAGGAATCAAACCAGTGACCCCCTGGCCCCTAAGTCGCTCAACCACTGAGCCATGCTGGCTGGGCTGGAATTGTGTTTAATTTTAGAGATTCTGTTCGTAAGGAGACCAAAAGCTACAAAAGAAATATAAAAACTTCTGGCATTTGCCAGTTTTTGAGCTTAGGTTCCTTTGGAGCCGTTGGTGACACTTAGGAAATTTTGGAGCCGTTTGTTTTTCTCACTGCCTTGATTACGAAATACGGTTACAGTGGGGCCTTGACTTACCAGTGTCCTGACTAACGAGTTTTTTGAGATACCAGCTGTCTCTTGACGGATTTTTTGCATTGAGTTGACAGAGTAATCTGAGTTAACGAGCTCCTTAACGAGCTCGGTCTCCGAACGAATTAAACTCGTAAGTCAAGGCCCCACTGTATTGCTGGTTCACTCTGTTGACCAAAGATAACACAGTCGCCCTGGAAACCCTAAATAGGGGCAGGGTTATTGGAACATGCCTTCTTGACGCCAAGCTTACTTTGTTAATATTGAACTGATAAGAAAATTCATGGTTGCCCTTTTTAAAAAGCAGGTTATTAATTTTGCTTCATGTCCCAGGGAGAAATCATCTATTAAAAACTAAGGGCTATCTCTAAGTCAGTTGGATTGACCATGTAAAGTGTAGGTCTTCCTCACGCATGTACGGATGCACTTTTTCCTTCAATTGAAGACTGTTCTCCCCAGTCTCACACAGGTGACTGAAACGCTAATATGAAGCGCTCCTGTGGTTTGCCCTCATCTTCCCCAAATGCTTGAACTGACTCCCCGGAGAAACTAGAAACTCCGAAGCACGCTACCTGGCGGAGAGCATTGTATTTCAAAAGTGGAGTTTGCAAAGTTAAAATGTCTAATTGGTGTGTTTTTGTTCGGACATATTTTGGACCAGCCGACCTTGCTAACGAGGGCCCTAACTATTCACACTGGTCCTAGAGAGGGTGGTTATCCATGCTGGCCTTGCGTAAAGGGCAGCAGGAAGTAGCATGGAACACGGATAGAAACTGACACTGTTTATGTTTTTAAATTACCTGCTCACTTTTCCCTTTATTTGATCTAGTCAGATCTCTCAGAAGTCCTACCCTGCGTCAGCTGTTCCAAGTGGAGTCATCGAAAGGCTTTGCACCCGCATTAGCCAGGGCCTTTCGGAGCGGGCAGGGAGCCCTGCAGGCTGGCATGATGCAGGCAGCAGTGTTTGCAGAGGGACTGGTCTCAAGCAAAGGTGACAGTAGGACAGTGGTTCTCAACCTTCTGGGCCTTTAAATACAGTTCCTCATGTTGTGACCCAACCATAAAATTATTTTCTCGTTGCTACTTCATAACTGTAATGTCGCTACTGTTATGAATGGTAATGTAAATATCTGATATGCAGGATGGTCTTAGGCGACCCCTGTGAAAGGGTCGTTCGACCGCCAAAGGGGTCGCGACCCACAGGTTGAGAACCACTGCAGTAGGAGGACAAAATCAAATGATCTTTGCCTGGTGCAAACCTTAGTTATTAGAGATTTCATTAAGAGAGCATTGGTTAAACGTGACCAGCATCTTGCTTAACAGGGACCCATTCTTTAGTTGAAGGTCTCTCTCTTGTCAGTGAAACTGCTCAGGGCAAGAAAGCCTTGTTTAGGTTGGGCCTGAGAGGTGTGTAAGATGTTATTATTGTGGCCCTCCAGTGGGTTTACAGAAGAGAGCTGGTTACTGGAAGTCTCGGGGTTTGTATGGCATTGTGAGGTAACAGACATGGTAAATAGCTAAAGTGCAGAGAAGGGTGGAATGCATGCCAAAGAGGCAGGTTGCTGTTGGAGCACAACGATGAATTCTCGCCGGAGGACTTGGGGAAGGTCACATCTGGACCTTGAGCAGAGAGTAGAATTTTTATAGGCAGAGGAGTGTAATGTTGCATTCCTGATGGTAGACACCATGAGTAAAGATAAGAAGTTTAAAATGTAACTGTCTTCAGAGATATGGGAGCAAGTGATATGCTGAGGTTGGACCTAGTGTAAGGAGGGGTGAGGTCAGGTGAGAGGTGTGCCTGGAGAGAAAGGCTGTGTGGAGATAAACTTTTTTCTTTTTAACCAAGGTTCTGGTTTATTTATTTTTTATTTTTTTAATATATTTTATTGATTTTTTACAGAGAGGAAGGGAGAGGGATAGAGAGTCAGAAACATCGATGAGAGCGAAACATCGACCAGCTCTCTCCTGCACACCTCCTACTGGGGATGTGCTCGCAACCAAGGTACATGCCCCAGACCGGAATCGAACCTGGGACCTTTCAGTCCGCAGGCCGACGCTCTATCCACTGAGCCAAACCAGTTAGGGCAAGGTTCTGGATTATTTTTCTTTTTAATTAAAGCAAACATAAAAGCAGAGGGAATGATATAATGAACTTTAATATATTCATCATATAGATTTAACAGTTTGTTAAAACAATTTCTTTATTGGCTTTTTGCTGTTGTTGCAGCAGTTTAAATTCCAGACAACACAATATTTCACCCCTAGATAGTGCAGTAGGCACCCCCCAAAACCGGGGCAATTTTTAATATTACTACTAGAAGCCCGGTGCACGAAATTCGTGCCTGGGAAGGGGGGATCCCCTCAGCCCAGCCTGCACCCTCTCCAATCTGGGACATCCCTCTCACAATCCAGGACCGCTGGCTCCTAACTGCTCACTTTCCTGCCAGCCTGATCACCCCTAACTGCCTCTGCCTGCCGATCTGATCGCCCCCAACAACCCCCCTCACCCCCGCCAGCCTGGTCGCCCCTAACTGCCCCACCCTGCTGGCCTGGTCGCCCCACGCAGCCTGCTGTTCAGTTGTTTGGTCGTCCCTCACTAACCCCCCTGCCAGCCTGGTCGCCACACTCAGCCTATTCAGTCCTCTGTTCGGTTGTTTTGGATGTGACGGCCCCTAGTTCTTTATATATATAGATACCATTGTCACCTCTTAATCAAATTGACAATAATTCCTTGTTGTTTTCGAAAACCTAGTCCCCAGTCAAATTTCCTTGATTGCCTCAGAAATGCACTTATTCTTACTGTTGGTTTGTGTGAACTGGAGTCCAAACATGGGCCAAGTGTGGTATTTTGTTGAGTATCTATTGTCTTTTTAAATCTAGGACCAGGGGTTTGGCAAACGTTTTCTTACAAGGGCCAGATGCTAACTCTCTTAAGTTTTGCAGACCATGCGGTCTCTGTTGCAACTAACTACTCAACGTCTTGTCCTGAAAAGGTAGCCATAGATGATATGTACATGAATCAATTTGGCTGTGTTCCAATACAGTTTTGTTTTCAAAGTTTTTTGTTTTAAATTCCACTGGTAGTCTGGGCCATAGTTTGCCAACCATTGTCTAAAGCAGAGATTTTCAACCAGTGTACTGCAAAAGTTTTTAAAAGACACAATACCCGACTGTTTAGTCAGGGGTACTGACCTCTTTTCCCTTAGATTGTCAAATAAGAAAATGACCACAGCCAGTACAACAATAACTGTCTGGTATGAATGAATCAAAATTATACCTATTTTTGGTCAGATTGGTAAAAATATATTTTTTGATGTGCCGCAGAATTTTAGTAAGAGTTTGTGTGTACTATGAGATGCAAAAGGTTGAAAATCGCTGGCCTAATGCAGTGCCTGTGAGTTTCTTTAATACCAGTGGTTTATTGGTGTCACCTGGTCATCTATAGAGGCCTCACATTCTGGATTTACTCACCTTTTTGTATAGTATGGCTTAGCTTGCTCCTCTAGCTCCTAATTTATATCTTCTGTTAGCTGGAAGTTAGATGGAAAGGCTTAATTAAGTTCAGGTTCATCATTTTTGGTACATGTAGTTTGAATTTTTTAAAATATACATTTACTAGAGGTCCGGTGCACTAAAATTTGTGCACTCGGGCGGGGGGGGGGAGGGGTCCCCTCAGCTTGGCCTGTGCCCTCTTGCAGTCTCCCCGGGTCACAGATCAGAGGCCCAGATCCTGCGGGCAGCGTCTGGCGCTGCCTGCCCCACCTCCCTCATCCCAATCTGGGGCCCTGCAGCGGCATCTGGAACCGCCTTCCCCACCTCCCTCATCCCAATCTGGGGCCCGGACCCCACAGGCGGCATCTGGCGCTGCCTGCCCCGCCTCCCCGGGTCACAGATTAGAGGCCCGGATCCTGTGGGCAGCATCTCAAGCTGCCTGCCCCACCTGCAGTATGCAAATTTAACGGCCATCTTTGTTGGGTTAATTTGCATACTCTTCTGATTGGCTGATGGGCATAGTGAAGTTATGGTCAAATTAGCATCTTTGTCTTTTTTTAGTGTAGATGACCTTAAAAGAGTTGGAAACCCTCATCCAGGAGGCGCATTTCTTCTGAAATAGTCTTTGGTGACTGGGAATACACTTTTTCCTTTCTCTTCTTATTTTCCTTACTTGAAGGAGAGGATGTAGCTGCCATTTCTCAAGGAGATTGAGAGAACTTTGAGGTCAGTGGGAACTTTCCTTCTTCAGGGCATCCTGTGGCCTCTGGCGCAGCCAAACCACATTTTGTCATGGAGTGGAAGTAACTTCCTTCCTTGGGCCCACATCCAAGGCCTAAAATGCCTTCCAGTGGGGGCTGGGTGATTTGATTTTGTTTTTAGGCCCCTTATCACTTAAGCAACTTTCCTCACCCACCCTCCTCTTCATCTCACCTCCAGCAGGACTGAGAACTGGATACCTGGTTTCTGGTTATTCCTTAAGGTGGCAGTATGTATCCTGGAGTCCTGTTTGGAAGGATTCCGAAGTCAAAAGCTTTTCAGACTCTCAGACTTAATATGATGCTCGATTCCAGGGTCACACGGTTTTGAAGAAACAAGCTTATAGGTGAGAATTGCTTTTCCTCTGTTCTATAGTGTTTATTGCTCTTAAATTCTAGAGCACCAGAGAAAGAATGTTGACAAATACTGTGAGGTGGGAGTCCTTGTCTTTTTGTCACTTAAGAACAACAAGGGAAACTGTTCATCTCTGCACCCATTTTTCCAGACAACCCGCCATTGAGTCGTGGTCTTTTTCTTATTGGTTTGTAAGAATTCTTTATATACTGAGAATGTTAATTTTTGTCATATAATATGTTATAACTGTTTTCCCCATTTTTTTAAACTTTGTTTATTGTACTTACGCTCTGTAGAAAATTTTAATTTTATATAGGGAAAAAAATAAAATCTCTTTACAGTTTACTTGCTTTGTGTTTTGCTTAGGAAGATAATAACCATTTCAAGGTTGTTTTTAAAAAAAATTTGCTTTAACACAGATACATGAACATGTAATGAGAGCTAAGAACATGTGATTCTGAAAAAGAATAACATTAAAGGGGGCTTTTCTACCAGATAATATCATATTAAGTTGATTAAATATTAACATTAAGATAGACCTTACATTGGTAAGTATTGAAGTTGGGGGATGGGTATTTGGAGGATCATTATATCATTACTTTACTTTTATATCTATTTGACTTCTCATAATAAAGTTTTCTTTAAAAAAAAAAAAGAATAGTGGGGGGAAAACTATCTTTGCCCCATTGGTTCATATTCAGCAACTATTAGTTGTATGCTAAAGGATATTGTGTTAATAAATGCACAAGATCTTAGGACTTATATTTCTCAATTAGGAGACAAATATTGTCATGGTTAAGGGGACCAACTCTTTGGTCATACTCCTGGTTATAATCCTGGTTTTGCCATTTATTAGTGGGGTGATTTTCAACTTTTTTATTTAAAAAAAAAAATGGGCATAACAGTCATGTCTACCTGATAAGGTTGTTGGGAGAATTGAATAAGAAAACCCACGAGAAATTCTTTACATGGTAGTTGGCATTTAGTACATACTCAATCCATGTAAACTCTGAAAAAGGGAAGAATTGCAAATAGCAAGGACTAAGGTGGAGAGGTGCTGGTGCTAAGCGACTATATGTAGTAGGGGTCATTGACCTCACATGGGTTGGTTAAGTGGGGTATGGAGATAAGAGATTTGGAAGGTCACATATTTTAATGGAATGAAAGTGCCCTCCGTGGGGGCAGCAGGGAAAGGGCACACGCACAGGCCTAAGGACTGGGAGAAGCGCATCTGATTTTGTATTGGGTTCCCAGTGCTGCTGGGTCTCACTGCCTGGAATGAAGGCGTCAGCGGGGCTGAGTCCCACCTGGAGGCCCTAGAGGAGAATCTGTTTTCTGGAGTTTTCTGCCCACACTCCTTGGTTCATTGCCCTCCACCTTGAAAGACAGACATATTGCATCCCTCTGACCCCTCCAAGGCGGTCACAGCTCGCTCTCTGCTCTGAGCCAGGAAAGTTTCTCTGCTCTTAAGGACACGTGTGGTCAGGTTGGGCCCATGTGGATAATCCAGGATCATTTCTGCATCCCAGGGCCATTAGCTTTAAGCACATCTGCCATGCACCGTAACATGTTCACAAGTTTTGGGGATTAGGACGTGGACATCTCTAGGGAGGGAAGGGGCTTTTCTCCTTCACCCGCCTCGTGATGCAATAGCTGCTGCAGGATCAGGACAGCTTTCCAGACATTTGGGGCCGTCAGATGCGTCAGAAGGTTTCTGACAGCCCGTCACCCATTCTTCAGAGCTCAACTGACGGGCTGTCAGAAACCTTCTTTGATTCCCTCCTGTGCCCCCGTCCTCCCCACGGGTCACCCTGTCTCTGCACCCTGATGGGGCTTTGCTGCAGCAGTTGTTTTACCTTTTCGTTCTTTCTGTTATTTTCCCCCATGTCATTGTTTTTGCAGGCTAGCCTTACACAGTGTGGGACTATTTTAAACGAAATTCATACTAAAATGTTTAGCATTTTCTCATCTATTAATGCTGATTAGATGAGATCCAGGACTTCCTCATTTTGACTCCCCAGTAGTGCCTTCCACGTAATAAAATAGGCAGCCAGTCAGAAAGAGCTCACTTCCGGTCAGAGGGGGGTGTCTTTATAGAACCCTAACGTTTTGAGTTATGCCGGAGTAACTGGAGAGGTACTTCGCACATTACCCTGCACCCTGGTCCATATGTTCAGATTACTACATCTGCCTTTTCACTTTTTGAGTGTTTATCTCATCCTGTTGTCACCTCTACTTAGGAGCATGCAGCAAAGTTAATGAAAATGATTAATATTTCTACATCTCATGATGGTTTTACTAATTTATGAGCATTGACTGAGGTCTGAAAAGCATTCTTTAAGCCCCTTATTTTTTAGTAGAATCACATTTGCCTGCTTTGCATTACTCTCTCTTGATTTGGTTTTCTGTAAAGTTAGATGCAGATTATAGAAACATAATGAAAACCATGAGGGGGGATTAGTATAAGTTTTGCCGTTTCCAGAAAGTCCCATAAATGAAATGACATAGTATGAAACCTTTGAGACGGCTTTTTCACTCAGACGTGTGTATCCTTTCGTATTCCCAAATGGTGTTCCAGCTTACAGACGTACCACAATTCGTGTATCCTGTCACTGTTGAAAGACATTTGGATTCTTTACAGTTTGGGGGGATTATGAATAGAGCTGCTCTAAACATTTTTCTATAGGTTTTTATTTGGTCAAAAGTTTTCATCTTTCTGGGGCAGATCTCAGGAGTGGGGTGGCTGGGCCATATGGTAAATGTCTGTTTAACTTTATAAGAAACTACCAAACTGTTTTCCTGGGTGGCTGTACCCTGTCATTTGTATATCCACCAGGAATGTATGAGAGTTCTAGTTGCTCCGTATCCTTGTTAGCACTTGATATTGTTGTGTGTGTGTTTTTTTAATTTGAGCCATCCTTATAGGTATGTTGTTTTTATTTTTCATTATCTTATTTCAGTTTTTTAAGTATTATAAAAATAATTTCTAATAATTCTTTAATAAATTACTGAATTAAGCTTATTTTATATACTTGTTATAAAAATAACTATTTCTTTTTTGGGGGGATAGTCTACATTTAAAAATAGTAAATATTCTATATTGGGGGAAAAGTTAAAACCAGAATATGTACTTAGGACTCTTTCTTAAATCTCATCATTGATACATAATATATGGCAAAGGATTCCAGAATAGTATCTGAATACATAATGCATTTTGCAATAACTCATTCATTATAAGCATCTTATGCATGTCCCATTCCTATTTTGCCATTAGTAACCAATAGTTAATTGCTTCATGCTAGGTTAGATTAACTGGTGACTCATTAGTTACAGGAGAATAAATGATCTAAGCAGAGAATAATTTTTTTGAATGCCTTTTAACTCTAGTGTGCACTGTTGTAATGTTAAAATGGACTGCTCCCATGTGTCTGAGGCAGTAGTAAAAGCTCGCCTTTGAATAATTTAGGGACCATGGTCCCTGGTCAGTATTGCTTGACAGTGTGAGGTTGACTGCTGGCTTCATTACCAAAACGTCACTGCTAATGTTGTCCCTTATGCCTAGCGTTGGATGGAACTCTGAAAGTCTCAGGGTGCACAAGGTCATTACTGCGGGAGGGCCTGTCTTTAAATTCAAGTCCCACCCACTGACTGCTATGGTATGAGCTTCTGGTTGGCAGTATTACGTTTAACATCAGAGTGGAAATTACTGTCATGTCATTGGAGGATGATGTGCATAGAGGGTTCACTTTGTCACTAGAATCTCTCTGTTTTTTGCTTGTGAACAGTTGCTGAAGGGTTAAACCTGTCGAGAGACCTTCCTTTGTAACACAGGGCCCTTAGAAAGAAATACTGAGCTTGACCAAGAAAGGAAGATAGAGGACAAATTCTCCAATGGGCTTGAGGTTGTGGTCTGAAGCCTCATAGGCCAAGTACTAGGAAAATCTGTTTCCAAATGTAAAGAAATAGGATAGGTTTCTGTGGTTAAGTCATTTTTTATTTAAAACCAACATATTAATTGACCTTTACATCAATTAGGATTGGAGTAAATAAAAAATAGTGAAGGGTTAGAAAGGATGTTACTTCCATTGGACCCAAGTATTGTTTGTTTAAAAAGTTATGGGTGTACTATGCCCTGGCCGGTGGCTCAGTGGTTAGAGTGTCGGCCCATGCACCGAAGGGTCATGGGTTCGATTCCTGGTCGAAGGCACGCACGTATCCCCGCTCAGGTTGGGGTGCATGCAGGAGGCAACCAATCAATGTTTGTCTTTCACATCAGTGTTGCTTACTCGCTCGCTCTCCCTCCCCTCCCCCTTCTTCCCTCCCTTCCACTCTCTAAAAATCAATGGAAAAAAATCTTCAGGTGAGGATTAACAACAACAACGAAGTTATGGATGTCCTTTAAACTTTATGCTTGTTAATATTAATAAAGTTTTATAAATATGCATGTATATTTTGGGGGGCTGGGTTGGAGGAAGGAATAATAGAAATGTATTGGGGCCTTAAATCCAGGGGTTTAGAATACCAGACTAATACACCTGCTGCCCCCTGGTGGCAGCATATTAAACAGTGCAGTTCAGAGGTTAAGGAATTCTAGGGAGCTAAGGCGGTCCATTCATTAAGGGGATCATAGAGGGAGCCAGAGATGGTCTCTCTTTCCAGTTCGTCTCATAATTACTTAAGAAGCAAATCGTTTCATTTGGTTAAAGTCTATATTTCACTTTCTTCGACTGTAAAGTGTAATTTGTAAAGTTCCTTCCAGCTTTAACATCTTATAATATTCCAACGATAATAGCAAATATTATATAGGGAAAGATGTCAAGTTCCACGCTTTCTTTTAGCAGGTGAATCCTGCTATTATAAGTCCCAGGTAATTATTCAAGAAGCAGGCTCCTGAAGCTTGACATGGATTCGGCTCTATCTGTAACACAGTCCACAACTGATCAGCTTGAGGACCCTGCATTATTACGACAGCTTACCAGTTACATCATTTAA